AAAAGTGCCTGAGAGGAATGCTGTGACCCGACAAGTGTCTGGCAAAAATAACCCAATCCCATCTAGGCCTTTTTCTCAACTTTGCCCTTTTATGGTTAGTCGCAGATGAGGGGGTGGGGCGGGAGAGGAGGAAGTGAAGGCCCACCTCACCAACCGGTCCTTCTCCGCCCCACGCGAGAGGAAACGGGTGAAAGGCGCTTTCCGCATCTTCACCTTTCCGTCTTCGCTTGATGCAGTGGAGGGGTGATGAGGGGTCGTCTTGCACTGCCTCACTGCTGGATACCGAAGGCATACCGTACATGCTTTTGAGCAGACAGACACTTCGGGGGCGCATACATGATTTTTTTTTCCGTTTCTCTGTTTTATTTTGGGGAAACGTGGGGTATATACTTGCCCTTTGGTTTTGGTTGCATCATACCTCCCTTTTAGTTCGATGTTTGTGCGCTTTTCTCTTCCTCGCTAACGCCTTCCCGCTTCTTGCTCTTGTTGTTATTCTTTCACTGTGTGGAATTGCCGGTGTTTGTTTTCTTACTGGTTCTTTCTTTTTCGCTCGTTGTGTGCGTGCCTGTGTATTTGCGAGGCCCGCAGAAGCGAGGGGGTACCGTCAGCCGTGTGGAAATGAGCAGGTTAGTTGTGCACAAGGAGAGCCTGCCCGCGCAGGTGGGCATCAAGCGTCGCCGCGCCCCTGCTGCGGCACCCACCGCCTCCTCCCCGACCTCCTCGGCGGTGGAGGGAGAAAACGGGGACGTAAAACCACCACCACCGCCCGCAACGGAGGGTGTTTGCGATAACACCGTGGACAGCTCTCGCCGTGAAACTGTGGAAACAAACACTGGCGAGGCAGACAGGGCACACCCCGTCGGTGCTGTTCCAGAAGATGAGGAAGAAGTCGAAGAGTCAAGCGACGACGAAGACATGGCGGAGTTGGAGCGGGAACGTCGACGTATTGAGCAGCTGCGCCAGGAAAAGCAGCGGGCGAAGGATGAGAAAATTGGCGGCACCGCCGCTTCCGCCTCCGCTGCCCCGCCCCACGCGACAGGACCCGGCAACCATGCTCCGAAGACTAGTGGTAGTAGTAGCGGGGGCGTCTCTTCTTACAACCATGATGTCTTGTTTCGTAGGCGCGAGTGGCGCGAACAGAACCTTGTAACCACAACAGACGGGGCGAAAAGGAATAAAAAGGCGAAGTGGGAGGCAGTGCAAAACAACGCCCAGCATTCCGCAGCGTTTCGCCACTTTATGAAGAGTCACTTTAGGTGAATGAGTATAGGCGTAGAAGACACGCAAGAATAAATTTATTGCCTTGCGTATTTGCATGTGGCGCTGTGGGATTGCTGTCACCAGCTGCATTGGTGCCATGGGCTGCCAAGTCACCTTGTTTTTGTTTTTGTTTGTTTCAACCTCTTATTTTCCTTTCCTTTTTTTTTTGGTAGCGACCCAGTTTATCTTGTGAATCAGTTTTTTTTTTTTTCTAGTGGAGTTGGAACGCGTGTTCACGTAGTGGCACAAGTCAGTCAAAAGAAGAAAGCCAGCTACGGGAAACTACAGCGTCCTCGCTGTCAGGCCCCTTGTTATATATATATACGTCTGCAGTCTGGCATATTACCGATACAACTATGCTGAGTCCAGAAAAATCACGAACGTCTGTGGTTGTGAAAGACGCCCCTGAATCACCAGAAGCGGAAACCTTGAGGGACGGCATTGTTGAGAACTCTGTCAACGCCGAACCTCCTCAAGATCCTCCTGCTCCTCCACCATCTGCAGAGGAGCATGCATTGGACGCGTCCATTGCGGCTAGTAGCATCCGAGGTAAGGTGGGATACTTCTTCATGTATGCTGCGTTCTCGGTGTCGCCGTACTATGGTCTTTTGCTTCAGCACAAGGGTTTTGCGCCCATGGCTGTTGGAACCGTCGTCGCTTTCATGCCGCTTAGCGTCCTCGTAATACTTTCCCCATTGTCGTATTTAGCCGACCGATATCACTGTTCAATGAAAATTCACATGTGTGGTGCAGTTGGCTCGGCGTTGCTCATTTCCTTCGTTGTACCCACTTCTTCCCATGTCCTCCTTGGGTTTCTTCTGGTGCTGCACTTTGTCTTCCGCACGCCTGTGGGACCCTTCATGGATCAACGGACCATGTCTATTCTACCTCCAGATCGAAAAATAGAGTGGGGACCGATGCGCTCCTACGGGGCCTATGGATGGGCGTTTGGCGCCTTACTCATTTCTGTACTTATTGGCTGGAGTGACTGGTGGGGACTTGCCTTGATGTATGTTGTGGGCATGACTATTGCGATGTACGTTGCCTTTACTATTGTGCCACACGATGAACCGGAATATGCCCAAAAGAACTACCTTCAAGTGCTACGCTACGTCTTGTCACACAGGCGGTTGTTCACTTTTCTTTCAGCACTTTGTTGTATGGGTATGGGTTACACCCTCATTAGCACATTTTTGTTTGTGTTTCTTGACACTATTAACGCGCCAACCATTTTACTTGGCCTTTCTGTCGTCATGACGGTTGTTGTTGAGATCCCGCTTTTTCAATGCTCCAAGTACATCCACGAGCACTACACGGATCGGCAACTCCTCTCTGTTTCATTCTTTGCATGGTCTGTGCGGGTGACCGGATACTCGTTTTTGTACAATCCCTGGCTCGTGTTATTCCTTGAGCCATTACATGGATTTACGTTTGGTCTCATGTGGTTGTCTGGCATGCACTTTGTACGGCATGCTTTTCCCAAATCACTCTCCCATTCCTCCATTGGATTCCTCAGTGCCACCGCGTTCGGCATCGGACCCGTCATGGGCAATCTTGTCGGTGGAACACTCTATCAACACTTGGGTGCACGAGGCATGTTTCGGCTCATGGCGCTGTTCATGCTTTGCATTGGCGTTGTTTTTCTGCTTATAGACAGGTACTTGGAACGTCACGGCTACAGAGTCGAGGCGGAAGAGGAGGAGAAAGTGACGGCAGTGGAAGTTATGGTGGAGAGTCCTGCTCCTGTAACGGCAGACGATGCAAGGGAATGACCGTGCACAACAACAACAACACGCGGTGAGATGGGGGAAGACGGCGCAATTAGAGAAGTATTGGGAGTGAGAAGATGCCGGCCCCGGTGGGTTTAGAAACAGTTGGGCCTATCATCTTCATGTGCTTAACGATACATATGCCATGCTGCACACCCGAGAAGAGTTATTACAACTCCTCCAAGAAAGGGAATTGAAAGTGGGGATGCAACTGAATTGTCGCTTTGGTGCATTTTTCGTTATTACTCTTTTTTTTTTTTGCTTGCTTGCTTGCTTGCTTGCGTTCCCGGTAGAGGCGGTGGCTGACCCCACCTCCTCCCCGTCCCCGCACCTCCCTCGCCATCTGGGGTGGGAGGATGCGTCCTCGTCAGCAGCGGAAGATGCGGAGGCATGAGGTCGTCGTGAGTTGTGTTGCAGTGGGTCTCCTGCTGTTCCTCTTCAACACCGTCTAATTGCTGTCGGAACTCGCACCGCCGCCGCATTCCTCGTCTGCGTACGCAACGTCTCTGGGAGAGAAAACTGCCGAGTACGGGGCGGAAGAAGAACAGGTGTCGCCGTCCATAGTGGAGATGCCGCAGGAAATGAGACCCGATGCGGCAGTGCGTCTGTTGATTGCGCGCGACATTCTTCCGCGCTGTCGTGCGAAATGGGTCAAGGCGGGAGGAGCGAATTACACACTTGCCGAGGAACGGCGACGTCGCCATGTGGCAACTCTCTTGAGAACAAACCCAACGCTTAACGCGTCCTCCTGGTGGTCGTACGAAGATGTTATTCGCGACACCGTTACTCTCAGCCCCTCTGCGCATCACCAGCAACAGCAAAGGGACAGTGTCGTGCCGTAGGCCTCTGACCCTGGCACCGCCCCTCCATTCAGCACCGAGGATGATGCGGCCTGTGTTCATCTGGCGCAGCTGCTCCTGAAGGCGGCGTTTGCGGTCTCGCCCAAACCAGTGGATTCGAATGTTGGGGGGCCGTGCTTTGGGTGGAATATTTTCATTCCGCTTCCCCACGGGGCGGAGCGCCACTTTGCGTGGGTCCGCGGCAAAGACATGGACCCATTTTTAACGGAGGCGGTCATGTGAACCTCCGCACTCTCTTGGTATGGGCGCGAATAGACGTCATTGTGCCCTCGTTTGATCAGCGCACCATCAAGTTTTGTGCAACGTTATGCTTTTTGCTCGAAGGGAAGACGCCCCCAAGCTGTCTTGCGCGTACGACCTTCTTTTTGAAGGCCCCACAACGGCAGTTCTCCACCGACCCCTTTGCAGAAGTAGCCGCCTTCGCGGTGGACCGCAAACTCGGCATAGGACGGGTGCCGCCAAGATTTCTTTTTCCGATTCCGCTGGCAGTGCTGCAGGAGGCCGTGGCGCGTCGAGCACAGCGTCGCCTACGCGTGGACCATTTCCTCCTTCGAGAGTCTGGGGGCGTGCCGTATGACGCTTGGGTGCAGCATGACGTATTTCTTTTTCTCAAGCGGCATGCAGAAGGCAAAGGCGGAGCTAACCGAGGTGAGGTGTACACGCGCCGCGGAGGTTTGGATGCGTGGTGTATTTTTCAACTTGAACTTCAGCATTTTACTGCGCTCCTCAGCAGTTCCCTACGAGTGCCATACAACAAGAAAAAAATGCCTGGGTGGCACAGATGGTTCAACCCGCTCTATAACGGGACAGTCGTCACGTATGCTCCGCTTGTTGCGCTGTCAGAGCAGGCCATGTTTGACTACATCCTTGGTAACAATGATCGTTTCCCCAACAAGAACTCCTTTGCTGTGATTGGGGGCTGCCAATGTGGGGGACAAGACGATGTTAACTTAGGTTGCAGTGGAGGTGGTAATAACAAGGGGGCCAGAGCGTTTCCAACCATCCTTCACTTGGATCACGGCATGGCATTTAAAGAACCAGCTGCAGCGCTGGTGAACAATCCACTGGCGAAGCTTGGGGAGAGACAGACACTCTGCATGTTCTACAAACCCTTACTCTGGCGTTTGTGGAGCATTGAAAAACAACTAACTCAGCGCCACACAGGTGACGTGACGGGCGCTGACTGGAGTCCATGTGTGGAGAAAGGGGAGGTGGACCGAAAAGAGTTGTGGGTGAACTTTCTGATGGCACACGTTTCGCGTGTCATTCGCCGTGTGGTTGGCCACGCCGCCTTTCAGGCAAGTGGGAGGCGAATGCTTCGTCTCTTGCAACGAGCCAATGCGTGTCTTGCCGTATACCCCGCAAAAGTGGTTTTGTTGCCTTGAATACCGCTTTGTTTCTTGTGGGAGGAGACGATGAACGCTGAACGGGGGCCTCTGCGGCTGTTGCTGGCTGCGCTTGGCTCTTCTGCGTGCCTTCAGAGAGTGGTGCGAGTGTGCGTGGGTGAGGAGTGTGTGCGTGCTGTAACTTGTCGTTCTTGTTGTTTTTTTCTTCCACTTCCGCTTCCTCATTTTTCGTCTTGTGTGTATGGATTCCGGTAGTATGATCAAGTTGTGCAAGGAGGGCGAGAAAAGTCGGCAGTGGCAGTGGCAGTGGTAGTGGCAGCAGCAACAGCGCGGACACGCCGTGCGAGTTGGGAGGCACATGACAGATGAGCAGGGACGGCTGCTCGCAATTGGCTCCGATGCGGATGCAGGTGTCTCCCAGTTCTCTCAAGATGAGGCTGTCGCCTCGGAGGAAAACGGGTTCCAAGATCTGGTGCCGACCAGCCTCGCGGAGCTGACGGACAGTGAAGAGGTGCACACTGCACACTTCGTGGAGGGTGACTTCTTCCCTGAGGAATCCTCCGCCCCTGCAGAGCTGCAGAGTGGCGAGGACCGCAATGACGCCTCCACAGACTTGTTGCAGGAATCATCGCTCCTGTCGGCCGCACCTCCGCCTGAGAAAAGGGCGCCGTGCGATGGCAGCGACGATGCAGGCAGTGAAGCACGTCCTTTGCCGCCCCTAGAGACACGTCGTCCTGTTAAACGCGTGCGCTGGGCGGATGAAGGTGTTACTGGGACGCCGTTGGTCAGGCGTGCCACAACCTTCCTTTTACTTCACATAGACAAAAACCAGCAGCAGTCGCCGCCGCCGCTGCAGCAGCAGCAGCAGCAAGCCATTGAGCTGGACAAGGTGTCCCAAGCTCTTTCGCCACCCCCTGTGCTTCGCGAGGAGAAAAACGGCGACGGGAGGATTTATCTTTCCTGCAAAGCACTTCGTCCGGCTCGCCGCTTCGTCCTTTGGAAGCGCAGCAAAGGGGCGACTGACGCTGCCGCAGAAGAGCTTCCATTTAAACTACAACCACCTGGAAACAGTTCCGCGGCACGCAGTGTTACTTTGTTAGCTGCTCTTCACCCTCCGTATCGCGCGGAACATGTGGGGCCAGCAGTGCTGATGCGCAGTGCCACTATATCGCAGAGCGCAAAGAAGGGAGAGGCACTCTGTGATGGGGGGCTGCAGATGCCAATGGTGCGTCCCTCGGGGCTGCGTAACGTTCCCTTGCTTATTCCACTGTAGGTGGTGAAGGGATGGGAAACATTTCCTCTGAGGGACGGGACGCTGCTGGAATTTTTGCTTTGTGGTATCCCTGCAGCCGCTTGGGCGGGAAGGAAAGCACCG